CGATTTTTATGCTGAGAGTTCACCTCTCAGCAATCACCACCTTTCATACCACCACTGAAGGCCATTCAGTCTCTGCTCATCCCATGACCAAAAGAGTGCATAAGGAAATAGCTAATCTTAAACCCCCACGAAGACTCATCCCTCCTACTTGGAGCTTGGATTTGGTCCTTGACACATTAACGTACCTACCCTTTGAGCCACTAGCCACCACGTCGTTATCGATGCTCAACACAAAGATGATATTCTTGTTGGCTGTTACGTCCGCCCGTAGCGTGAGCAAACTGGCAGCATTAATGGCAACACCACCCTTCACAGTTTTCACCAAGGACTCAGTCACATTACGTACCCATCCAGCCTTTATCCCTAAGATCGCAACACAATTTCATATAAAGGAACCCATCATTTTACCCGTTTTTTACCCGAAGCCACATGCTTCGACTTGAGACTTGCTACTCCATACACTCGACATACGTCAAGCATTAGCATTCTGTATAGACAGAACACGGACCTGGTATAAGACCGACTGTCTAATCGTGTTGTAATTTTGTAATAATTTAATTGGGTTTATTGATGTATAGTCTAGGTACTACGTGATATTCTAGCACTTCAGCTTTGGTAAGATGGATACTGCACCAAGAGACAAGAAGGACAGAGAGTTGAGTGGTGGAGCTAGCATTAGGAAGATCGATGAAGCAGGGAAGGAGAAGACAGAGGAATTTGAGGGCCACTCACCGATTCCTCACAAGAGAACTGAGAGAAAATGTCAGACCGGGAAAGTCCTTCCATTCATGAATAACCCACTTTATTAGCACCCTAAATACTTGTCCTACATCTGTACCTTAATTACATGTGCTTTGATGCACATTAGTTGCACATTACATCAGCCCAGACTTTCAGGAATTTCGGTAGTCACAGTCTTGGCCAGACTTTCAAGAAAGCCTGACATGCTTTGTACTGTGCTCCCAGGAAAATTGGGTAAAACATGTCACAGTGAAAGTTGCTAGTCAATGAGTTCTCCTAATAATCTGTTTCTCTTTGCTGCTGTGTGCGTCTTGGGTTTTTAAATCTATATTGGTCATAAATCCAGCATGTCTGTGAAGCATTGCAAGAGAAATACACAAATGGTTGTGAGGTGGTCTGTTACCATGGTTGTTGAGGGGGGGCCAAGTAAGCATCATAAACAAAAGGTGTCATTCAGTTTTTGTTTAATTGTTTGTATTATAATTGTATGTATTGCGTTTCCCAATCAAACCTGGGATTTCAGTGTGCTAGATCCTATACAAACATACTTCTTCTTTACACCCAAGTATATATGGTATATGTACACGGCTATAATGTCCACGCATAAATATAAGAAATGCCCTGTTGCTTAGTGGGTTTCCTGTCTTCCTCAGAGCAAATTGGAGCATTGGCAGATCAGCACATAGTCCATGTTGCCTGTGGAGAGTCTCATTGTGTGGCACTCAGTGACCAGGGCCAGATCTTTTCATGGGGCGCAGGTAGTGATGGACAACTGGGGATCACTACTACAGAACATTTTGTGGCAGTACCAAGGTAAGGTTTACAGAAACCAAATGCTAAAGTTTTTATATGTAATGGATAAAGTGAGATCTTCTAGTTCTTCTTCCTGGGACTGGGCAAGTCTCTTCATTAACTTCAGTGGGTTCTCTTTCTTTTAAGAGTAATAAAGGGAGAACTTTTCTCTCTATCCATATTCTGCTTGTCAAGTTAACAAGGCCCTTTGGTTTTGGTTTTTACAAAGAAAAAAAAACTCAGGTTCTATAAAAGCTCTTATTTGAGTTTCACTGATTTCTCCCTGTTCCCCCCCCCCCCCCCACCAATTAATTTTGGACCACTCAAGTACATGAAAATTCAGAGTGCTTAAAAAATCGAATCCATTACATTATTTATCTGAATAATAATGTAGTGTAAGTATAAATGTAAAACTTTCAAAATGAGGCAGTGTAATGGAAGATACCCATGCACATGTATATATCTGTGCTCAGGTACTCATAAAAGAAGAGCTGGAACTCCCTGCATCCAGTTTCTTTCTCCCATAGGAGAGATGGCATCTCTGTAACATGGACTGCCTTGTTACTGAGCCACCCTCTCGCCTTCCAGGTGAGAAATACTTCTATTTTGTCCATTGCCTTTTTTCTGTCCTCCCATCCTTCCCTACTAATTGGGACCCTGGAAATAGAAGTTGATTTTTTTTATACTGTGTTTTTTTGTTTTGTTTTGTGTTTTGTGTTTTGTGTTTTGTGTTTTTTGTTTTGTTTTGTTTTGTTTTGTTTTGTAATATAAACCAATACATTCCTGGGAAATTTTAAGTAAAATAAAAACTAAAAGTAAAGGTCCTTGTAAGTCATTCATTCCTTTTGGTTCACAGATGAGGGTTTTTTTAAGTTCTCCTGCACAGTCCAATTAATACACTATCACAGATTCTGATTTCTCAAGACAAAAAAAGGGGCATGAATTAGCAGATACATTTTTTTTCTGATGATATAATGTTTTAGAACTTTGTATGAGAAGTGGTGGGAGTTAGGATGCAATGGAAATGTTAATTGGCACCCAACTAATCTCTTACTCCCTAAAAATTCTTTTACTATGGGATCGGTCTTCCAAAATTAGAGAAGTAAACTTGGATGTATAATGAGCACTGTGATTTTGGACCGTTCATGCAACATTGCCTATTCATTCATGTTATTAGTTGAATTTATGGGATACCACAGTTTAATAAGGAAGCTACAAAACTGTCTATTGCTCAGAAATCTTTAGATAGTGCTGATGTTGTTGGCATTTGTTTAATCTGATTTGTTTCTATAATTCCAGAGTGCTGAAAGTCTATAAATGCATAATAAACTTGTTACTGTCTTTAAAATGATGAAAAACATCACCTTAATTGAGCTATCTTGTCCCTGTACATATTGAGTCATATCTCCTTACTTCAGGGGCAGATATATGCTCTCTCTCTGACTTGTTCCTGGTAGCCCCGCAGAAACAGTACAAGAGGGAAGAGCAATTTTGAAAGCTCTCCTGGGTTGTGCATCATGAGCTGGACTGTTAACAGATTTTAGAGGGGTAGCTGTGTTAGTCTGTTGCAACCAAACAACAAGGAGTCATGTAGCACCTTAAAGACTAAACTTAAAATGCCACAGAGCTGTTAATGATGTTCCAGTTTCAGAATCGTAATGATGCAGGATCTGAAGGAATTCACCTTGGCTCGCAGATGTCAGATTGACTCTTCTTGGAAAACATCTCTTATGAATTGAGCAGAGTTGTATAGAAATCGTTTAAGCAAACATGAAATCCCCCCCGATGTCATTTTCTGAGTGTTTCGGAGGAATAACTGCTCCTTAAGAGCCTTATACCACTCTCCATGCAAGACCTTAGGATAGCATATCCCACATATTGACATTAGCAAACACCAGACATGGTGACATACCTATTCTAAGCAATTTACAAATGATAGACCTCAGCTGTACTGAAAAAGGTTGCATGGCTGTATTAAGGGTATGTCTACACTGCCACCCTAGTTCGAACTAGGGTGGCTAATGTAGGCATTCGAACTTGCAAATGAAGCCTGGGATTTAAATATCCCGGTCTTTATTTGCATATTCCCGGGCGCCACCATTTTTAAATGCCCAGTAGTTCGAACTCCCTGCCCGTGGCTACACACGGCACAGACTAGGTAGTTCAAATTAAATCTCCTTGTGAGGAGTAACAGTAGTTCAAATCGGGCAGGGAGTTCGAACTACGGGGCATTTATAAAAGGCGGTCCCCGGGAACAAGCAAATAAAGCCCGGGATATTTAAATCCCAGGATTCATTTGCAAGTTCAAATGCCTACATTAGCCACCCTAGTTCGGACTAGAGTGGCAGTGTAGACATACCCAAAGCTATTTGATGTCTATAATCAAAAGCTTCAGAGGGGTAGCCGATTTAGTGTGTAACTGGAAAAATTTTAAAAACAACGGATAATCTAGTAGCACCTTAAAGACTAACAAAACATGTAGATAGTATCATGAGCTTTCGTGGGCACAACCCATTTGGGTTGTGCCCACAAAAGCTCATGATACCATCTACATGTTTTGTTAGCTTTTAAGGTGCTACTAGAGTATCCGTTCTTTTTGAAGTCTATGATGTTACTCAGCTGTCCCAGGCATGTTTTTAGTCACTCCACTGCTTGTAACAGGAATGGGTGTAATTGTACTCTCAGAATTAGGATTATATATCATCACTTCAGGGGGAAACAGATGTTGCAGGTAAAGTACGAGTTTTGGTTTAGAATAAACACAATTGATGGACTCTAATACAGAGATCGGCAGCCACAAATGGGCCATATGAGTGGCCCTCCTTCACCTCAGTGGGCCACAGCAGCCACTGGGGTTCACCTGTGGCCCTTGTGTACTGGGGCACTGAAGCCCTTCACTTACCTGCTCTTCCTCTTCCCTCCCAGCACTTTGAGTGCACGGATCTCCTGATTCGTGACCCATCCTCGTTCCTCCCCTTCCTTTCCAGAGCTGGAGCATGACGAACAGCTGATTCACAGCATTACAGCTCTGAGAGAGGGGGGGAGGAGTGGGGATGGAGCATCCTGCTGAGAGGGAGCAGGAAGGTGCAGGAAATGAGGGGTTCTAGTGCCCCAGTGTGCGAGAGGCATGTGGGGTAGGGGGACAACCAAGGGGTCTGCAGGTGGAGCCCCAAGTGGGCCACACGTGCCTCCTAGGCTGCAGGTTGCCCACCATAGCTCTAATAACATTGCGTGTATATGGTTGCTTTTTAAAATAACCTTTCCTCTTTAGGTTAATAAAGAACTTGAACCAACAGATGATACTGCAGGTTTCCTGTGGCAACTGGCATTGCTTAGCTCTTGCGGCTGGTACTGTAACATTCAATCTATGTTGTTAAAGATAATCTTCCTTGTGTTGTGATAATGCTTAGAGGCCAGGACCCCATTGTGTCAAGCTCTGCATGCTTATATAACAGAGACAGGCTGGCTCAAAGAGCTTGCAATCCAAGTAGAAGACTATGGAAAACCACTGGATACCACAAGCAGAGAGGGAGCCCAAGGAAATAAGACAATTCTGGTCATCAAGAAAAACATTGATTTCCGCACACTGGATGCCTATCTGTGGCAGATGGGATTTTTTTCAAGTGTTTCAGTCTTTGTGTTAAAAGAAGTGCATGATTAGAGTCATTAAGAAAAGCATTCTTGGGTGGTGTTCTTCAGCATGCAGTACATGTGCCTTTTTTTGTTTGATGGTACAAGCCATAGTAGTTTTACACTCTATCCATGCACTGTTTTACCATTCTATCTGTTTAATCTCCTAGTTCAATCACACACTTTATTATTTTACCTGGTAGCTCCATAGTGCATGCTTTTGTAGCCAGTAGCATCTTGCTCAAACTCCTGCCTTCAAGTAGCAATGAAACCCACAGCACTGTTTCTTATTCAGCTTAACAGATTTGGGCACATTTTAGTTACTGACTTCAAATTGTCTGTCTTTATTTCAGATGGGCAGTTCTTCACATGGGGACAGAACAACTATGGCCAGCTGGGCCTGGGTAAAGAATTCCCCTCTCAAACAAGCCCACAACGCGTCACATCTCTTGATGGCATCCCCTTGGCTCAGATTGTTGCTGGTGGAGCTCACAGCTTTGCCCTGTCTCTCTCCGGAGCTGTGTTTGGCTGGGGAAGGAACGACTCAGGACAGTTGGGCTTAAGTGATGAGCAAGGTATTGGAACACTTAGCAACAAAGGATGAGCTGATTGCTGAGCATGGCTTTGCTTTTTGTAATAATTCTTCATTGTGCCAAGGGGCCTGTAGGAGAGAACACAGGAAAGTGATTCCTCTCTAAGGGCCCATAAGCCTTCCATATCATGAATGGAAAGAAACTGCATTGGAATTAACAAGGTCAAAAAGACCGTGGCCAAATATTTGTGATTATTAATGCTTTATAACCTCTCCTTTATTCTTGTTCCTTTGAGAAATGGATGAACATATTTAAAAGGGGTTCGAGATGTTTCATGTGTGGTTTCATGAAGGCTAAATCTTTTCTCTAACGTGAGTGACTCATCTAAGGTATAAGCCATTGTGAATTGCTCTTAATGAACATTAACAGCATGATCTATAGGCATTTACAAGTATTTCACAGCAGTAGGTTATTTAACTGATTTAATGTTCTGTCTCTCTGTAACAGTCCATAGAAGTGTCATGCCAGGCAGCCTTCCCAAAGCCTTGCATCAGAATGATGGCCATAGGGAGAACAGACCAAAATGCTATGGTTCTGTTATGCTTCAGATGGGGGGAAAAAATCTATTGAATACCATTGATCTCCCCTTTCCACCTTGAAAAAGCACCTGTTGGATATATAGGCTAAGGATTTCAAAAATAGGTACCTAAAGTTAAATTATAAAAAGGTGGCCTGATTTTCAAGAGTGCAGAGTATGAAGCTGCTCACATTGAAATTAAACAGCTACTGGATATTCATCTTTTCTTGAAGTGCCAATAGCACATAGAATCATATTGTTTGTGTTTAAGGTTTTCTTGCTGTGTGCTGAGGTTGTGTTTGGCTGTTTGGGTTTTTTTTCCCTTTCCCTTCCTGTCCCCCCTCCCTCCCATGGAGTGAGAACTGTGGCTGGCAGGTGGAAGCTGTGAGCTTCTAATCAGGGTTTGAAATCTAGAAGCCTCTGCTCATTGGTTGAGCCTTAATTGGGGGAGGGGCTATCAGGCAGTCCAGGGCTTTATAAAGGAGTGAGTCAGCAACCAGGGAGCTTGGAGAGGGAGCTGGGAATGGGGTGAGATACATGTGCCATTCTTTAAAATCTTTTCACTACACTCATGCACTTCAAGGAGGCATTTAATAACAACTGAGGAATCTCTCAGAATGAAGGCAGGTATGGATGGTGATAGGTCTGCTGTTACCTGCACATCATGTGCCATGTTTGTCTTTCACCCAGAAGGCAGAAGGGATTTCATCTGTACTAAGTGCAAGCTGGTCACTATTTTGGAAGAAATAATTAGGGGACTTGAGGGCCAAGTATCGACCCTACTTTCTATCAGAGAGGAGGAAGACTTCCTCGATAGAAGGCAGCATTTAATCCTGCAGGCACAGCAGGCTGAAGAGCCAGTCAGGGCAGTACAGGATAAGGAAGAGAACTGGCAGCATGTAACCTCTAGAAGGAGAAGAACGCCAACTCAAGTATCCTCCATCCCTGTAGAGGTAAGTAACCACTATCAGGCTTTCTCCACAGGCACTGTGGTGGAGAATGCTTTGGTAGGGACCTCTCTGGGAAGAAATCAGAAGGGAACACCATCTACCAGAAGGCACGGGATGCGTAGTCGTAGGGATGGGGGTTCCACAACCACCACTCCTAAAAGAAAAAGACGGGTGGTGGTGGTCGGGGACTCCATCCTAGGAGGGACTGAGTCATTCATCTGCCATCCAGACCTGCAGTCTCGAGAAGTGTGCTACTTACCAGGAGCTCGCATTCAGGATGTGACCGAGAGTCTTCCGAAAGTGATTAAACCTTCGGATTGCTACCCCTTGCTGCTTTTCCATGTAGGAACTAATGATATGGCTAAGAATGATCTTGAGCGGGTCACAGCAGATTCTGTAGCACTGGGAAGAAGGATCAAGGAATTTGAAGCGCAAGTAGTATTCTCGTCCATCCTTCCGGTTGAAGGAAAAGGTCCGGGTAGGTGGTATCGAATTGAGGAAGTAAACGTGTGGTTACTCAGGTGGAGTCGAAGAGAGGGTTTTGGTTTCTTCGAACATGGGACTCTGTTCCAGGCACAAGGATTCATAGAATACTAGGACTGGAAGGGACCTCGAGAGGTCATCAAGTCCAGTCCTGTGCCCTCATGGCAGGACCCAGTACTGTCTAGACCATCGCTGATAGACATTTATCTAACCTACTCTTAAATATCTCCACAGATGGAGATTCCACAACCTCTCTAGATAATTTATTCCAGTGTTTAACCACCCTGACAGTTAGGAACTTTTTCCTAACGTCCAACCTAAACCTCCCTTGCTGCAGTTTAAGCCCATTGCTTCTTGTTCTATCCTCAGAGGCCAGGAAGAACAAGTTTTCTCTCTCTTCCTTGTGACACTCTTTTAGATACCTGAAAACCGCTATCATGTGCCCTCTCAGTCTTCTCTTTTCCAGACTAAACAAGCCCAGTTCTTTCAGTCTTCCTTCATATGTTATGTTCTCTAGAACTTTAATCATTCTTGTTACTCTTTTCTGGACCTTCTCCAATTTCTCCACATCTTTCTTAAAATGTGGTGCCCAGAACTGGACACAATACTCCAACTGAGGCCTAATCAGCGCAGAGTAGAGTGGAAGAATGACTTCTCATGTCTTGCTCACAACACACCTGTTAATACATCCTAGAAACATGTTTGCTTTTTTTGCAGCAGCGTCACACTGTTGACTCTCAGGGTATGTCTACACTACCCCGCTAGTTCGAACTAGGGTGGTAGTGTAGACATACCCTCATTTAGCTTGTGGGCCACTATAACCCCTAGATCCCTTTCTGCCGTACTCCTTCCTAGACAGTTGCTTCCCATTCTGTATGTGTGAAACTGATTGTTCCTTCCTAAGTGGCTCACTTTGCATTTGTCATTATTAAACTTCATCCTGTTTACCTTAGTCCATTTCTCCAATTTGTCCAGAACATTTTGAATTATGACCCTATCCTCCAAAGCAGTTGCAACCCCTCCCAGCTTGGTATCATCTGCAAACTTAATGGCTGTGTCTACACTGCACCCCTTTTCCGGAAAAGGGATGCAGATTAGACACTTCAGAATTGCAAATCCGCGAGGGATTTAAATATCCCCCGCGACATTTGCATTTACATGGCTGCCGCTTTTTTCCGGCTTGGGGATAAGCCGGAGAAAAGCGCCAGTCTAGACGCGATTCTCCGGAAAATAAGCCCTTTTCCGGAGGATTTCTTATTCCTACTTTCAGTGCAATGTCAGCTTCTGGTAATCAAAAGTTTAGGAATACTTGAAGTATGGTATGGCCTGCCTGATGATCTTGGCTAATAGCTCGCTTACCATGAACTTAGCAATTTTTTTTTAACCCAGTTATACTTTTGGCTTTCACAACATCCTCTGGCAATGCATTCCACAGGTTAACTGTGCAGTGTGTGTGAAGTACTTCTGCCTTTTCTTTGTCTTAAACCTGCAGTTTATTAATTTCATCAGGTGACCCCCTCCTAATTCTTGTGTAGTCTGAAGGGGTAACTTCCCTGTACACTTTATCCATGCCATTTATGGATTTATAAACCTCTATCATATCCCACCTAAATTTGCCTTTTTTCAAAGCTGAATAAGTATTTTTTCATCTCTCTTCACGTGGAAGCTGTTTCCTGCCCCTGATTATTGTTGTTGCCCTTCTCTAGATCTTTCAAAGTCTAAAATACCTGTTTTGAGATGGAGCAATTAGAACTGCATGTAGAATTGAAATTCATTATATTATTTTGTATTTTATTATGTATACCTTTCCTACTGGTTCCTAACTTTGTCACCTTTTTGACTGCTGCTGCAAAGTGAGCAGATGATTTCAGAGGACTATCCACCAGTGTTCCTGCTAAGATTTTCCATCCATGAGCGGAGTGAATTTTGTCTTGTGCACCAATATTGAGGTCATGTGCGCTAGTTCAAATGTGTTCCACCGTCTCACCCACAGCCCTTTCCCAGTCACAAAGAATAAAAAGAGCTGTTAATCAGAACTTCCCCCCTGCCTTATTATGGCTGACCCAATGTGCCAGTGTACTGTATTTGTCCCGCAATCTGCTTATTGACCACCTCTGCAGTTTTGCATTTCTGCTGCAGATGTGATTTAATCCTGGCATCAAAGTTTCTTTAGTCGGAAAAAAAAAACCTTATTCTAGCTATAAAGAAAACAAATCAAAGCAGGAATTTTTTCAAAAAGGTGTTTCAAAAAAGTTTGCCCAACCCCCCCCCCCCTCTTCCCACTAGAGACACTTTGGGAAAAATCGGTAGCCTACAGCCCTTGGCATGATGACCTATCTCAGCCTGGTGGGGTTGCGCAGCAACATTAGCTAAACTCCCACCTTCCCTTAGGATAGGCCCTGACTACATTTCTTCTCCTTGCAAAGCAGCTCCCAAACCGTCCTGATTAAAATACTGGAGCATCAGCAGCAGACTCTAGTGTCTCTCTCTGCTCCCTCCCTCCATTCTATATGCAGCTGTGTCCTTACGGGATCAGCCAATCTTTTTCCATTTAAGGTGTGCAGCCGGAACCCCTCTCAGATCTTTTCCTGTTCTCTGTGGCTGCCTTGGGTTCCTCCATCGCTCCTGTCTGCGTGGCCACTGGAAAAAAGCCTCTCCTTGGAAGAGACACAGACTTAGCACAAGCAGGCAGCAGCAGCAGATCCTGCTGCAGTGTAACTTTCTCTGCTATTGCTCTGCCTAGGCATGCATCTCCTTCTCCCTACGCTCCCTTGACTGATGCCTCTCTGGGGAATTTGACCCTCCACTCGCCTGTGCCCCCCCATGTCCTGCTGGCTGCCGTGCCTTCAGTGAGGCCCCACGTGGTGAAGCAGGAGCGATAGCAGGGGAAGGCAGCCGCACACACTGCCTTCCTGGAAGCCCATTGCGTGGCCGCCTCCCTACACCCACAGGCGCAGCCCCCTGCCGACCCTATGGGGCAATGCGAGCCTCCCCACCCTGCCACCGGGCTGCTCTCTCAGGGGAGGGGCTTAGAAGGTTAGGGTTGGGAGGGGAGGTTGCCCAGGGCCCTGCACTCCCATAGGAATGGCCCTGCTTGTCCACATGCTTGTTGTCAGTCTCAAAGAATTCTAATAGATTGGTGAGGCACGATTTCCATTTACAATAACTATACTGACTCTTCTCCAACATACTGTGCTTATCTACGTGTCTGATATTTATGTTTTTTACTATAATTTCAGCCATTTTGCCTAGTAGAGGTTAAGGATGTAATAGTGTAGTCAATGAACTGACAAGCAAAAAGTTATAGTCTAATGCTATAGACTACACATTTCCCTCTCCCCCCACCAGTAAGTTTTTTAGCAGGCTGTCCAGCAGCCTGGCTCAGTCCTGGCTTGTGCCAGGTCCAGGACCTAACCCCGCTGCAGTTCTACATTAAATGTGTATTAGGAGCCAGGTGGGCAGGTACCCCAGCTCAGTTTTGGCTTGTGCTGAGTCTGGGAGCTCAGACCCCCCCAGATAGGGGCTGCTACCACTCAACACTGCTGCTGACCAGCTCCTGCCTAGTTCCCCGTGCTGCTGCCTCTATACAGTGACTGCCGGCCCGCCCTTGGTGACTATAGAATAGTCAACTAACCGATAAGAATTCATAAGGTTACTCAACTATTCAATTAACCGATATTTAACATCCCTAATAGAGGAAGCGCCTCTCTTGTCTGGGACTTTGTGGTCCAGCAACATCCAGGGTTTGGCAGGACCACAGATGTTGCTAGACCAGAGAGCCCCAGCCACAAGAAGTTGAAAGTGGCTGGGAGTGGAGTCAGTATGGTGGGAAGCAGCCCACAGGGCTGGTGACTTGGGAGCCCCATGAGGGACAAGGGCAGGGACCCTGGGAGCAGGGGGCAGCAGAGCCAGGCAGGTGATCTGTAAGAGGTCAGGCCTCTGGGTTTTCCCAGGGCAGTGCACAAGAGGGGAGCCCCAGTAGAACCCGGAAGCCTGACCTCCATCAAACTTCCTTGTTTGGGACCTCTCAAGTTGCAAGGGTGCTGGACCCGGGAGGTCCAACCTATACTGAAATCAGGCTTATTCACCTGTATTTGCCAAGATTGTCTCTGGAACTTTTTAGAAAAGTTGGTGTTGCAATACCTCCACTCCTACCCCTTCAACCCCCCACTTCCAGTCACTTGGTACAGAAACTGATTTAAGCAATAGATTACATAATACAATTAGCAGTTCTTTTAGAACTCTTGGTGACTTATTACTGTTTAATGTATCATTGCCCCCTAAAACCTCCTGCACTAACACCTCAATTTGGAATAATTGCTCAGATTTATCACCCAAAAGGAATGGCTTAGGTGTGGGGATTTCTGCCATATTTTCTGTATTGAAGACTGATGCAAAGAAATTGTTTAACTTGCTGGCTACAGCCTTGTCTTTCTGGAGTGCTCCTTTAGAATCTTGATTGTCCTACTATATGGTGGACTTCCTGTTTCTGGTGTACTTGAAATATTTTTTCTTTAGCTTTTTTGTCTCTGTCCTGGCAAATTATTTGTTGATCTGCCTTGCCTTGCCAGAGTTTGTGCTCCTTTCTGTTTTCCTCACTAAGATTGAACTTCCAGTTTTTAAAGTATCAGAGGAGTAGCATCTGACGAAGTGGGTCTTTGCCCATGAAAGCTTATGCTCCAATACATCTGTTAGTCTATAAGGTGCCACAGGACTCCTTGTCGCTTTTCCAGTTTTTAAAGAATACCTTTTCGCCTCTAACCACTTCTTTAACTTTGCTGTTTAGCCATGGTGTCATTTTTTTGGTTCTCTTACTTTTTTATTTTAATTCAGGACATGCAATTAGTTTGAGCTCTATTACGATGTTTTTAAGTAATCTCCATGCAGTTTCCAGGCATTTCATACTTGTTACTGTTCTTTTTGAATTTTCATTTAATTAGCTTCCTCATTTTTGTAGGCTTTTTTAAGTTAAGTGCTGCTGGGGTATGGGTCACTTTAATATCTTTCTTCCTGTAAGGATGTTAAAATTACTACATTATGGTTGTTATTACTAATCTGTTCAGGTATATTGACATCTTAAACTAGGTCTTGTGCACCACTTAGGACTAAGTGAAGAATTGCCTCTCCTCTTGTGGGTTCCTGGAGAGGCAGCTCCAAGAACTCCATTTGTGGTGTCTAGAAATCTCCCTGAGCATTTCACAGTCACTGTCAGGTAGTTGGTAGTATATTCCTACTGCTATACTCTTAGGCTACGTCTACGCTGCAAGCCTCTTTCGAAAGAGACTTTTTCGGAAGATATTTTTGAAAAAGTCTCTTTTGAAAAAGAGCGTCTAGACTGCAACCAGTACTTTCGAAAAAGCAAGACGCTTTTTCAAAAGAGAGCACCCAGGCAGTCTGGCTGCTCTCTTTCAAAAAAGCACAGTTTGCGTTACATAGCGCCTTTTTTGGAAAGTGCACTTTCGAAAAAAGGAGTTCTTCCTCATAAAATGAAGTTTCCGCGGTCGAAAAAACTGCCGCGTTCTTTCGATTTACTTTTGAAAGAACACAGCAGCAGTCTAGATGCAGGGGAAGTTTTTTCGAAAAAGGCCACTTTTTTTCAAAAAACCCCTGTAGTCTAGACACACACCCTTTTTGTTCAAGCATGTCAGACTTTTACTTGATTTGACTGTCTTCTTTCTTACATATATGGTGCCACTCTCCCACCAATACAACCTTCTCTGTCTTTCCTATATATTTTAGACCCTGATATTATTGGGTCCTGTTGATTATCCTCATTCCACCGGGTTTCTAGGATGCCCACTATGTCAATATCTTGACTTAAAGCCAGGTATTCTAATTTACTTTCTTAGTATTTACAGTTCTAGCATCTATGCTAAGTGAACAAAGTCTTATAACCAGGGTCACTGTAGAATAAAGCAAGCAGCAGTGTATTGGTAAGGGCAATTATTACATATGAAAATGAAGACTTAAAAAGTCCCCTTGATCACATTTGAACTAGTCTCAGGTACTCTGGTCTTCTCAGATGCCTTTTTTTAATCTTCTCCCCCCCCCCCCCGTTCTTTGTGACTCCACAGGGATCATCTGTGTCCAACACAGCTTCAGATGACAGATCTCAAATGTGTTTCTTCTGTTCCAACTAGAGCTGGGCTGAAACACTAACTCCTTAGCTCTCTACCTCAGCCAGTTTGAAATCCAAAGTGTCCTTGAGTTGTGACTTTACAAGTTTCTTTTGTGTCCCCTGCAGTGTGAGTTTGTCCAGGGTCTGCAGAACTGAACTCTGTCATATTTGGTTTTTTGACTATACATTAGCTAGCTGCTCACCTGCTTGCTTTGGCTGGATCCCTCTGTGACCTTAGTTAGGTCACCTAAACGTTGGAGATGGAAAGTACTATTAAAGAACTTAAAAATCTGATTTTCTTCAGAGGTGCTGAGCACCTGCAGCTCTCACTGATGACACAGTTGTGGGTGTTCATCATGGCTGAAAATCAGGCTGCTAGAGGTTTTCAAGTACTTTAGCATCTTATCAGTAACTTTCCTCTTTTGCTCTCTTGTCTCTAATGCAGACCGAGAGGCCCCTTGCCATGTGAAGCTCTTACGGACTCAGCAGGTCGTCTACATTAGCTGTGGAGAAGAACACACAGCAGTTCTTACAAAGGTAAAGGCAAGAATTCCCTATTTCTTATTTACTGAGTTGGCTTAGTTTAGCTTTCTGGGTGATATTAGGGATATAAATGGGTAACTGCTTAGCCATCGACCTGGCCAGGCTGGAGCAGCCCACTGTGCAGCAGACCTGGCTGTGGGCAGGGGGTGACTCTACCCTGTTGGATCCCAATTACCTGGTTACTTTTTAAAATGGGTTTTACATTACGTTTAACTGGTTAACTTTTTAAACGAGATTTTTCATCCCTATGTGATTTTAAAAAAGAACCATGTGGCTTTTAACACCTCTTTTCTCTCTCCTGGCCCCAATATGATTGTCTTTTAAGTATGAAAACTTGTTTTACTTAATTCTTAAAATGAATCACCAAACCACCCAATAACACCCAGTTCTGTAAAGGGGACATTAATATTTGTTGATTTGGAATTTTGATTGAATTATTTTTAGTCACACCCACTTACTGTGCCTTGGTAAGATATCAAAACCACAGTGTTTAACAATAAAATCCAAACCTTAGCAAAACATTGGCAGAACCCCCCCAAAATCATCTCATGAGCAAATATTACAGTCTTCTGCCTCTGGCCTCCTGAAAGATACACCCAAACAGGTGCTACATTGTCCTGCATTTTACCCAAACAGGTGGACATTGCATTATGCCTTGAAAGTTAACACAGAGCTGTTGGACAGGGAGTAGACACCAAAAATGCTGACCCACCTGTGGGGGAAGCTTCTTAGCAATTTGTGGTATTTGTGATCATCTGAAAGTAGCTGGGATTGTTAACAGATGGTGGAGGAAGAGTATGTGTGACACAGAAGTACCTAGAGATAGTTCCAGCAATTGAGTTAACTATTTTGGTTTTATAAATTCTTCCCTGTACATTGCACTGTCAGGAATTGTGAAAGCTGCCTTTTAATACACCTAAATAAGTAGCACAGTCTCTCTTTAAGCTGGGAAATGGTTGTGAAACAAGACAGAGAGATTGCTGTCAGAAAATAGCTCACTAAACGGTGCATGGGCTCTCTGATTTGCTAACAGAGTGGAGGGGTGTTCACATTTGGTGCGGGTTCCTGCGGGCAGCTTGGCCATGATTCCGTAAATCATGAGGTTAATCCCCGGAGGGTTCTGGAGCTGATGGGCAGCGAAGTATCCCAGATCGCTTGTGGCAGGTGAGTGACGCTGTGGAGTGAACGGTTCCATCTTGTGGAGGGTGGACTAGATGATTGCTCTTGTATTTTTTCAGGTGCAAATGGTGGGGTTAGTTTCTTCTCTGCATTGTAGATCACATATACAGGTTATAGCTTCTTGTAGGTCTGAATGTTAATGTTCTTCGTAAATGAGATTGGTTCTCATTTGGGCTGTTAATTATGCTAGATCCTGGTGCTGTGTAAGATCCCCCTATACAAAAACAATACAACTGGATCCCAAAGTATTAGTACCATTAGATGAGAGCACTAGTGAGACCTCATCTAGAATACTGTGTGCAGTCCTGGTCTTTCATGATGAAGATGAGTTCAAAGTGGAGTAGGTGCAGAGAATGGCCACAAGGATCATCAGCGGAATCGTGAGAGGAGACTTAATGACCCTAAAAAACTGATGCTTCAGAGGGGTAGCAGAGTTAGTCTGTAACAGGAAAAACTAAAAAACAACAAATAGAAATCATGCGCTTTCGTGGGCAAAACCCACTTCTTCAGATGACCGGCATGACACCATCTACATCCGTGGTCACCAACAGGTCGATTGTGATCCTGTCTGCCCCGCCCTCATTTCCCTCCCACCCCTGAGAAGCCCCACTACCTACCTCAAGTGAAAATGGAGGTAGTGTCGGCTTCCTGGGGATGGACAGAAGTCCCGCAGCTTAGCGCCACTTCCGGCGATTCCGGAAGTAGCGCTAGCTGCTCTGCCAAGTGTACTGCAGGAGGGAGCATCGGCTCCCTGCACCACC